AAATGAAGGGATAATTATAAAGACAAAAAGTTTGCCCAAGTTCACACGACTCATGGGAGAAAGGAGATTGGTGCCTTCTAGTCTGGCCGTAGCACCTGTGCTCTAATATGCCATTTCAACCCAATACCTCAGGGGTTTCTCTCCCAAAGCCTCCTGAGATGAGTTTTATCATCAGCTTGATTTTACATTGAGGAAAATAAGAATGAAGTTAAAGAACTGGCCCAAGGTTAAACTAGTAAGGGTCAGAGTATAGTACCCAGGTATTCTGGTTTCAAATCCCCATCTTCTTTCTGCTCTATCCCCATTGCTGTTGCTATTGTATTCGTGAGTTGTCCCAAATGGCTCATCCTCCAAGTCTGGCCCTTCAATGCAAGAAGAAATGGTACAAATGTAGAAACTTCCCCGAACAGAAGAAGTCCTCTGCCCAGAGTCTTTACATGCCATTTAGTTCTGATCCCCAGGGTACAGTAAAAGCAGCAGGAATACAGAGCAGTTACGACATAGGGAACAACCATTTCTACACTGGCAAAATTCAGGACAGAGGATGTAGGAAAAGCATGTTTGGGGAAACTGCAGGGTTCCAGGAACATTAGTGGATGATTGGGGAAAGGGGATCTACTCCCTTCCACAGTAAATAGTGAAAGATAAAAAAAGGATAAAAATCCTCTCAAAACAGCAAAAAATTTCCAATATAATATCAGGAAGAAAATAAAACGTGCAAAAATAACAGGGCAATGAGACATAGAGAAGCACAGCCATCCAGCACAGAGGATAGAAAGAAAGAGAACAAAGAGTCTTACCTGGACTTTTCAAAAGAAAAGTGACAAGGAAAGAATGGGGACAGCAAAGTTAAAGAAGTGGTCAGGTAATTAGAAGTCACTGGTGTCTTTCCCACCTACTATAATTTTGGGTAGCATAAGAATTAAGAGAATCTTAAAAGTAGGTTAGGAACTTAATGGCTGGGCCGCATGATCTTGGAGAGAGATCAGACAAAGTGTTTCAATGTCTCCTATACTATCTCTGGCAGATAATCATCTAGCTCATATTTGGGTACATCTAGTGATGTGGACCTCCCTACCTTATAAGGCTGCCTATTTCTTTATTGGGAGTGGGAGAAGACTGAGATTAATGAGCACCTACTAGGTGCCAGGTACTCTCTTGGGCATTTTACATGTACCAATTTTATTTAATCTTCATAATAATCCTGTGGAAGAGTTATTATCCCCATTTTATAAATGATATAATGTAGGTACAGGAAATGAAAAATCACTTGCTTGAAATCATATCATTAGTGAGTGTTGGAACAGAATTTGAGCCCAGAATTATCTGACCACAAGTTTGTGTTTTATCACTCAACATTGCTTCTGTCTACAAGGAAACCATGAGAGAATCTGAAATGCCAGACCGAAATCCAGATAATCTCTGTACAATGCAATCTTCCCATCAACTAATCTAGTTACAAAATAGAAACTGAGTTTAATAGGACATGACTTGCTCTTAGGAAATCAATGCCAAACCTCTGTGATCACTGTATCTCTTTCTAAATGCTCATAAACTGTTTAATAGTCTTATAGAATTCTGACAAGCTCAATAGCAATAACGACATAGAGGTTACCAGTATGGAATCTGGAGCCAGCTTACCTGGATTCAGTTCCTGGCACCCTCACTTCTTAGCTATGTATCACACCTTGGGAAACTTATATATCTTTCCTGTATCTCACTTTACATGTCTTTAAAATAGGAATAATAATAGTAACTACCTCATAGACTTGTTGTGAGGATTATATTAAGTTAGTGAATGTAAAGTTCTTAGAACAGAATCATAGAGACAATAAGTACTAAATCATTATCATTTTATTGTCAATCTATATTTTCCAGAATATATTATTTTCTGTTTTGAAAACTGGCACATTTTCTTATCTATAGTGTTTTCACAGATCTCCTGGAACACATAATTCTGTCAAGGTTACCTACAGCAATTCCTCTGGAGACATCTTAGAATTATTTAAGTGCTCATGGATATATATATTTTTAAACTACATTAACACTTAAATTCTGTTAGACTATAAGCCCCATGAAGGCAGAGCTTGTAGTCTAACACAGAACAGGGGCTCAATAAATACCTACAGCATGAAGGAAAAATTCAGAGCAGTGAAGTGCTATCTTACAACCTCGGATACTTTGAGATTTGATTTCCTTTTAGTCAGGATTATTCTCTTTTTCCCTTGACAGAGAAAGAAATTATGTCTCTCTGTTAACAGTAAACCATCTACTTCAAGCAGGGTGTTGTCAGACTATCACTTCTTTTTTCTTCTTTATTTGAACTGATCTTTAAAAATAAATATCGATATTATCTTAAGCATTCTTTATAACTAACTTTGACCCATTCTAGGATTCATGAAACTATTTTTGGTCTCTTCTGTTAAATACCTTATGTGAAATGTTATATATTATTTAGCCTCTTGCTAGGTAGGGCCACTCGTTTCATCCTTTTAAAATATGAACTCATCAGAAAGCTTAATGTAGTCATATTTGATTATTTACCTTCTTGTAAAAAGGTAACATCCTTGGACATCCTTTTAAATTGTGTGTCTGAGGGGAGTGAGAGCCTTACTTAACTTGCCCTGGTCTCAGCCCTTCCCCTTCCTTTTCTTTGTAGATTTTCTTTGTCAAAGGAATATTCGCCCTCCAGGAAGACTTGTCTATTCCTCCCAGCTCTATCTCAAGAAGAGAATCTTCTGTAGTAATAGCAAAGGGTTCCTAAACAACGGAGCAAAGAAAATACCTTGTCTCTTTGCATACCTTCTTTTGGGCCCACAATCATTTATCAAAAGTTAATTCACTATTTGCTGAATAGAAAAGATCTATTGTATTAATAGATACCAAATGGAAATCCCCAACACAAACATTAGATAATTTTAATGGTCTTTGAACAATCAGGGTGTAGCTGCTTATGCTCTGGGAAGCCAGTGTCAAGTGACCCAGGTATGTGGAGTTAGTAACCCCAGGCTCTAGGCTGGCTTTGCTCTGGTAAAAAAGCCTGTGGTTCTTGCTAGAACAAGAAAGCTCCCATTTGAGGGAAACTATGCTTGCTTCATGGTTTCTCTTTTTTTTGTTGTCATCCCTGTTGCCTGCTTCCCCCATCCTGCCAGCTTGGCTGGTCTGAACCCGCAGTCCTATCTTAACTTCCAGTTTCTTCCAAATTATTGGCTCCCACTAGTTGGCTTAAAAGTTGACTCATCACTCCATCTTGGTCTTCCACTGCCCCTTGGTTCCTAAACTGTGTCTACTATTCATCTTGTTTCTTCCCCTTTATTCCTAGCCTCTGCCTCGCTATTTTGTGTCCTGGCTCTTGGCCCTATCTCCTGTAGCCACTGCTTTACAGAGCCCAGCCTCACATTTTACTTAAAGTAATCCCAGCCTTGGCTGACAGATACCAAATTAGCAGCGTCTGGTGGTAGGGAACACTAAAATAAACAAAGTTTCTAATTGTTTGCTGTCTCTGTGACTAGTTCTGAAAATGAACATAACTTAGGGAGAAGAATGGGCATATGACTGTTAGTGACATGGCTGATATGCTGAGAATGTCTTTGGTTGCTTAAATTAACCCTAAAAAATTCTGCCTCCTGATTTTATGGAAATCCTGGAAAGAGTTAGAGGGAGCTAAAAAGAGGCATTGATGCTTAGTTGAGTTTCAGATTCATAAAAGTTCTCTTTTCCAGGATTAGCTCCAGACTGAGTTAGTTATTATCTCTACTAACTAGTGGCTATTGGTTCCAGGGCTGACATTCAGATCTTATTGCCAAACACTGAGGTAGTCTGAATCTAAACTCACTTTATTCCCTCAATCCACTGTCAAAGGCAAATGGATAAAGATTTAATGCAGTATGTGGCACACACATGCACGTGAACAGAGGGCAGGGATCTTAAAACAAATATGTGGTTCATGTACCAGCACAGAAGAAATTAGTAGTGTTTGCCCTAGTGTTTTGTGACTTAGCATTCCTCTTTAAAGGTATTCACTACTAAGTGACAGAGAGGACAAAGGGACTAGATGATGGTAAAAAAGGTAAGGGTAGGACAGTGAATTTGGAAAGTCACTCTGAGCACTCAGTTCTTACTTTTAAGAACCTCGTCTTTTACTTTCCCTGGTCCCAAACTCTTCTCAGCCAGTCCCCGGAGCCAAAACTGGTCTGAACTCTATCTCTATCCTTATTTAGAGAGGAGATGTGGGGAACAGTATCTCATAAAGAGGGATCACTCTGAGAACATATGCCACCCCCCACCCCCACCAAAGAGAAGAGGCCAATAAACCAACAATCACAGAGTTATCCAAGGGTCAGTGGTAAGAGTAAGACCTCTCCTCAAATGGATTACAAAGATGGAAGGGCGGGTAAGAACATGGTTGTGAGTTGTAGGGAACCAATACACCTTGCATAGGAAATGGGTACAGAAATGGGAAAAATTCCTATATCACAAAGGTAGCTACCTGTCAGGGCAAAAGTAGGAGGCCCCTTGTTGGTTCCTGGGGCAGAAAGGAGCCAGGTGGTCAGAGCCATTAGAGTAGAAATTGAGGAAAGGTGCTCGGGGAAGCTACTGTTTACCAATTGAAATAGAAATATTTCAATATTTATTCATGCTGTCTTAAATTTAAAAAAAAAAGAAAAAAAGAAGAAATATTTTTAACAACTGGAACAAACCAGCTGGCTATCAGCTCTGGGTAGAAGGGATTAAGAAGTAGCACTATGAGGGTCATGAGGGCAACGGGTAAAGAAGATACCAAGACAAAAATACAGACTACAGAGTTTCACGGCTCACAAGCCAGCTCTGCCTGTGATATTCATGTCACACTAGTGCTCCTGATATGGAATTGCTGCCAATTTCCTGTTTTTCCCCCAGTAGTTTTTCCCCACTTGATTGAGAGCCTGGGGATGACAGAAAGGAAGGGGCTGGGGCCCCAAGGTGTCCATCTCCCTGAGGGAAGAAGGGGGCAGAATTACCTTCTTACAGAGGACCATTTGGTGGTCAAACAGGAAGAAGACCCGCTGCTGGTTGCGGCCATAGGGCTGGTATATCCAGGCCATCTCCCCAGTGTAGATCAGCTCCGAGCTCCTGTCTAGGATATCCTCGCCCTGGGAAGAACACACAATGGTGAGAGGCAGCCAGGCAGAGAGATGGCACCTTTACCTGCCTAGAAACACTCAAGGCTGGGCATAGACTGGGGCAGGAGGATGCCAAAATGGGCCTGGTGCAGAAGGAGGGTGGGGGGGCCTCCTGGGAGTCCTCAAAAGGCTTTACAACTTCATGAGCTAGGAAAACCCATTCTCTTGTTCACCCTCAGGCCAAATAAGAGCTCCACTACCTAGGACTACTACAGCTTCTCTATGCCAGTTACTCTCTAACCCTAGAGGTACCAGCTGCTATGCATTCTCCATCTCTCATCTTCCCTATGAATCTCCCTTTCTGCCCAAGTATCTCAATCCCTGCTGTCCTCTATTTCAGTCTCTACTTGAAGAGTGAGCCTCAGCAGGTGGTAGAAGTCTTTCTGCTTCCCACATAAGTAGATGGGGACAGGGACAAGGGAGGGCAAGAAAGGAAAATCATGATAGATGGAGAGAAAGAGAATTACTCACCCTCTTATAATTGTTTTTCCTTCTCTTCTCAGTTTATTAAAAATCTATTGATTAAATAGGAAACTTCACAACCACATGCTTCCTTGGGCTGTTGTCCAGAGAGCCTGGAACTACTTCTCCTCCTTGCTACATAGAGCCAGACACAAAAAAGCACCAAGGCACCTGACTCCTAGCTAATTCAATTATACAGAATTACCAAGGGTCCCCCTTATTTATGGCAACTTTGATAGGTCAGAAGTATGTTGGGGATATGTGACAAATGCCAAGCCAAACTTGTCCCCTGTCCTGATGGAGCTTAAATCTCAGTAGAGATTAATGCAGGTGTGCTCAGAACTCATGGAACATAAGGCAAACCAAATCAAAGCCATGGGCACAGGGGTGAGTGTTCCAGGGCCTATGTGAAGATGAGGACAAAGATCAGTGGCACAAGATGCAGAAGAATGAATATTTCCTGAGCAGCTATATGGGTCAGACATTGTGCAAGATAGTTTCACTCTATAGCATCTGGGCCTCACAATATCCCTGGGAGTTATATATTCTTGCCCTCATTTTACAGTTCAAGGTACAGAGAGATCAAGTGATAAGCCAAGGTTGTCTGGCTAGTTCTCTAGAGATCCATGATCAACCACAATCTCTGCAGCTCCAGAGAGTGTTCTTAGCCATTCCATTACACTGTCTCTAGGCCAAAAAGTCACTGGCAGACCAGTCCCTTCCTCTCTTTAGGTCTCAGTTTTCCAAGATGTTAAATGAGGTGTATGAGGATGATTTTTACGTCCCTAGTCCTGATAACCTAACACTCACAGCCTTGAATCTAAAAGCTTCAAGGTAAATTTAGAAATGGGGACTCTCACATCCTCCCAAAAATGATCAGAGGCAAACACAGCCCAGGCTGGGTAGTAGGACAGAGAAAGGGGTATCTGGAAATGGTGTTCTCCAGCACACTACTTTTTTTCCAGTCTAAGGGATGGGAAGGGGAGGAGGAGCTCAGTGGAATTATTTTCTAATAAAATACCCTGAAAGAAGCCCAGAAATACTACTTCCACTCCAGACTTCACCTCAGAATTACCCAGGAACTAGGTAAACACCCCTTTTAGAGGGGCTGACATATTAGCACAGAACCTCTGGAGGCCAGGCACTGGGAGAGGAAGCCCTTAGGGTTGGGTAGCAGTGTACAGTTTTCCTGTTGGGGAGATGGGAAGCTGAGAGGGGTATCAGTTTACCATATCCCACCCTGATGCAGGCTAGGAAAATGTGCCACAGTCCCCTTTAATATGTATGAAGTGAAAGAAAGCCATAAAAGAGGGCCAATGCCATCAAAAGATGGCCAAGATTACTTTTAAAGGTAACACTAGCTAAACTGTGGATGATCAGACCAGGAGGATTATTCAGTATTATCTGGTCTGTCCAGTGCACCAACCAGAGGCACTCCAATTCTATTTTAAGTACTTGCTGCATGTAACTCCACCAAGCAAAAAAATCTTGAAAAAATACACCTCTATGCTCCCCAAGCTGACTGACTTGAGTACCACACATATTCTCTTTGTGCCTCAGTTTCCTCATCTTTAAAATAAGGATAATAACAATATCAACTTCACTTGGGTATTGGGTTAATTATTTAAATTAACGTATATAAAATGCTTAGGAAAGTACACATCACCCTATAAGCTCTATATAAGTGATAGTTATCATCTTGACTATTGCTGTGTGCTTTAGGTACTATATCCCGTCTCCTATTAATACAACCCAGTAAGAGATGTACTGTTATTGTCCTCAAAACCAAGGTCACCGGAATTGGAAGTAACTTGCCCAAAGGGGCAAAACTTAGACTCCCTCCAAAGCTCATGCTTTTAACCATTAAACCACATTAGAAGGATTACCTCCCTGCAAACCCAGTGGAATAACCAGCTGCCGTGAAAGATTTCTAAAGTAAGAATCCCAAAAGACCTGGGTTCTGAGTCCAGTGCTGCTACCAACTCACTCTGTGCCCTTGGAAAGTAGCTTAAACTCTCAACCTGTTTCCTCATTTGTAGAGTGGGGATAATATTAATATAATAGTTCCTATTTGACCCACTTCATATGGCTGCTTGAAAGCATCAAATCAGCTCATGCATGAGAAAGGAGCCTCTCATTTTTCAGAGCTTGCATCCTCTGCCCCACTTGTACCACACATCTCTTTGTCTTGCCCTAGAAAGTGAAAACCCTTCCCACTGCCCCCAGCACAGGCCTTCTGTTCCTCCAGGATTTTGCTTACACTGTTTTCTCTGCTATGAATGTATCTTCCCCTACTAAATGGCCAAGGACACATCTCATTCATTTCAGTATCTTCAATGTCTAGCATAGGGCCTGGCATTGAGGAGATGCTCAAAACATAAATCTCCTAATGTCATATATTTTCTCAAAACCCTATAGTGGCTCCAACCTCATGCAAACTAAAAGCAAAAGTCCTATGATGACATGATCTGCCCTCTCATTGTCTCCCTGACCTCACCTGCTCCCACACTTCCCCTCATTCACTCCATACTGGCCACCTTGGCCTCACTGTTTCTTGAGCACACACTCCTTATTTCAGGGCCTTTGTATTTGTTCTTCCTTCTGCCTAAAATGTAGTGCCCCAAGAAAGCCACATGGTTTGCTCCTTCATCTCCTTCAGGTCTTTTCTCAAATGCTGCTTCCTTAGGTAGTACCCTCATCACTCTCTAGCCTGTTATTCCACTTTATTTTTCTTCATAGCCCCTATCACTACCTGATATATATATATATATATACATATATATATATATATATATATATATTTGTTTGTTGCCTTTCCCCTATGCTGGAATATAAATTCAATGAGGGTAGGGTCTTTGTCCTGTTCAATGATGTATTTGTAGAACCTATAATGAGGCCTGACACAGAATAGGTACTTAATAAATATCTGTTTAATAAATGGATCAATGGGTGTCGAATAAATAGTGGCTATGAAAAACTACCATAATATTTCTTGCCAGCTCCACCTTGCTTCTCTGGGGCCAGAACCTCGGAGAAGAGGCTTCACTCCAATCTAATTACAGGCCAACTGATGTGGGGATGTGGCCTAAGCAGATCCAGTGAAAGAAGGACAAGGAAAATGCCATTTTTCTCATCCAGTTTGTTTTCAATGCTGCCTACTGACAGGATAGCAGGGAAGTAAATCCATCCAGCCCCATATTTGATATTCTGGTCCCAAGAGTAATGTCTAATCAAGTCACCTTAGCTTTTAAATAGATGCTTTTGCTGCCTCCATCACGTTTTTGTTTGTTTGTTTGTTTCCTCCAACTTCTTTAGATTCAATCTTCCAATGGTAAACTGGAATACGCCCTTGGGTGTTACACACCCAGGCTGGGAGGGAAGGGGTGCCACAAGGAGGAAATCACAACCATGTACAATCAAGCTCTCAAACATAAGCTATAAACTTGGGCTCCTAAAAATATGCAGAATAAAAAGATCAAAAAGATGCTTTCAGGGATATGTACCTTTCCCTTCGTTTCATGTGGATTTAACGAGTGTGAAAGGTGGCAAAGTGACAGCTCAACCAAACCGCAGCATCAGAGGTATTGGAAATGGAAATTCCCCCAAAATTGCAGTACCTGAGAACAGGTTCTTCTCCCTGCTGCTCTTCTAAACTGCTCTAAGGTATTTATTACTACTTAGAGGGATGGGTGTCACTTTTACTCATCCATTTATTTTTCAGAAGACCTAGGGGATGGGGCAAAGGGAAGGATACTTTAGGACCTCCTAGTTCCCATAGATGATAACTCAAATTGGGCAAAGAGACCCAGAATGTTCACAGAGTAAGTTGAAACAAGAGTCAGGCCTTGATAGAATACAAGGCTTCCTGCTCTCTGGCCAGATGCTCTGATTTATTTAACAGGCCTCAACTGCCTGCATGCTGCCAACCCTCCAAATTCCTCTCCAAGGGAGATTAAGTTCTGAAGGTTTCCCTTATGACTCCTCTTTTTCATCTGATAAATGAAGCTAATTATCACACAGATGCTTCTGACAGTCATCTTGTTTGTTCAAACATCTGGGAGGCAAGGGGGTGGCAGAGACTGCAAAGCACTGATTCTTTTTCTTGATTTGCAAGGCTTGTTCACAGCAGCCTTTGGCAATCTAGCAGAACCTCTCTCCTTGTCTGTTCAACTTCTTGGGCAGGTGGAATGCATAAAGAATCTATACCAGGGAACCAGTGAGGTTGGGCCACCTATCCCAAGAGTCATCAAGCCATGGAGTATCCACGTCCTGTTGCCTTCCGGGAGAGACTCCCCAGCATTCATCCACCGTCTGACTGGGATTTGGATTTTCCCCTCAAGGTAGTCAAATGACTTATTTAGATACAGATTCTTTATTTCATAAACACACCATCACAGTGTCACAAAGAAGGGGTTGTGGGAAGGAGAAGGATGATACAGTAGTGAAAAGACCACTACATAAGAAATAAGGAAACTAGATTCAAGTTCTAGCATTGTCACTGACTTGCTGTGTGGCCTTGGTCAGGAATAGGCTTCTCTCTGCTCCTCAGTCTTCCACCATCATTACAAGATGTGTGAGGATGAGTAAGAGTGTGTGTAAGAGTATTGTGAGTATGTGTGCACATACAAGAATGGTTAAAATTGTAGGGAGAGTCATCTAAGAGCCCTGGTGACTCTGACATCCTAGAAGTCTTTAAGATCAGGTATGGCAAATATGACAGACAATTCAGGCCTGGCCTCTGAAATGTACCCATCAGGCCTTATGAGAGAAAAGACTTCCTATAGGGCCCCTCCTCTGGAACTGGCAAGTTCCACAGTGACCTCAGAGTCTGAGAAGAGGGCCATGAGGAATTTTTCTTACCAATTGCTATAGACTAAATATCTATGTCCACATAAAATTCATATGTTAAAACCTATTCCCCAATGTGATGGTATTTTGAAAAGAGGCCTTGGGAGGTGATTAGGTCATGAGGACAGAGCCCTCATAAATGGAATTGGATTAGTACTCTTATAGAAGAGACTCAAAAGAGCTCCCTTGCCCTTTCCGTCATGTGAAGGACCCAACTGAGGACAGCATTCTGTGAAACAGAAAGAAGGCCTTCACCAGACACTGAATCTAGTGGTTCTTTGATCTTGGACTTCCCAGCCTTCAGAACTGTGAGAAATAAATTTCTGTTGTTTATAAACCATCTAGTCTATGGTATCTTGTTATTGTAGCCCAAAGGGTATAAGACACCAATTTAGATGATGAGGGGCTTCACCAAGCAGGAAGGTGCAAGGAGTGTATGGGCTTGGATGTGATTAGAGGACCAATCATGCTAAAAAAGGAGGCAGAAACTGTTAGAATTGCCTTTCTGTGGCCCCCACACAGACAAACACACAGGAAATTCCTCCTGAGATGCCAAGTCTTTAATCATAGCTCAGTGCTATGGAGTTTGGTGTTACTGAAGCTCCCTGGGTAGGCCAGGGAATTTAAAGCTATTTTTGGTCCCCTATGGACCCTGCTCCAGAGACTGGAGGCCCAGAGCACATGGAGGAATTCAAAGGCCTTCTAGTCATTGGGAAAGGGGGAAATGTTACAGAGAATAAGAAGACAACTGCTGCTGGACACCTCCTCTTACAGAGAACCCTGCCAAGGTGAGAGAAAAAGACCTGCTTACCAGCCATAATTTTAGAGTGCCTTAGAGATGATGGGCTTGCTAGAAGTTATTAGGTCTAGTTCTCCGCCTCTAATCAGGCAATTGGCCAAAGCAGAGCTGACACAAGGGAAGGAGAATTCATGATTTTCTAGTAAATCTGGGCCAGTACTGGCTTTCTTTTATGACCAAGAAGGTTTCTTTATATTGATTCCTCTCTCAGCATCTCAAAGAATCACTGCTGTTCTACTCTTGTATGGAGACATTATGTTTCAAATATGACCCAAAAATATGTCAGCTGATCAGAATTTTTGTCTTTTTTCAGCTATCCACATTAGGGAGGAACAGGGATAGCAGAATAAACAAAAGATGGGTTTTTTTCTGGACCTGGGTTAAGTAGCTGTTTGTAAACCTGATACCTGGTCCCCTTAGAATAGGCTAAAAAACTACCCGAAATGTTAAGAGAGACACTATCACTTAATCACAGAAAATGACACCTGAGTTGAGGACAGTGGAATAGGGAGCTGGCTCTACTTCCATACTGTGACCACAAAGCTTAAGATTGCTACTCCCTCCCTAGTAGCATGTCTAGCCTCTTCCATTTTGGTTACATTAGCCTGTGGATTATCAGACTATACAACCTGGACCTCAGAGATAAATGTTAAGTGCCATTAATCCTGGTTCTCTTAGTGGGAATCTAGGAAGGGAAGGTTTCATTGATTCAGCTACTGAAGGCTTTCTGAGTTCAGAGAAGTCATGGCTGTTGCAATGAAATGGAAGACTGTTAGGGATTATTTTTTTTTAAATGATAAAAATAGAATTTCATCTGTGGATTTTGTAGGAATGATGGTCATGGCCTTGAGTGTGCAGGCTTGGATAGATCTAGTAGATAAGTCAGGTAAGGCAATCCCACCAACTAGAAAATTATCTTGGCTGTCCTGCATGATTGGGAACAAGAGAACCAACCTCATATTCTGTGTCTGAGGGTAAATTTAATACTACTCAACTTAATACTTGGAAGCATTAATACTTAATACTACTGAATATCTAAGTGTACATCTGGTGACCATAAATACAAGACTGGAAAGAGCTTCAAAAAGTTACAACGTCAACTCAATTGTTTCCTGGCTACACCCAAAGAAATGAACCTTTCGTTTCTTAATGAAATATTGTCACAAAAATTTCTCCAATCTTCTTAGAAAGCTACTCAAGTACTGAACCCCTCTCATTAGCAGGAAGTTTTGCCTTGAATCTAACCTAAATCCTTCCTCTTGCTCTTCAAATTGAATTTCTCTTAATCCATCCTTAGCTAAGATGGGAAGCTTTTGCCAAGTTATTCCAACTCTCCAGCACCTTATCGGGAAGGGTCCTACCTCCCAGTCTAGGACAGAAGCCTGCCACTGGGCAATCTTGTCGATATTCTCCAAACGTCGTTTGCGTTCATTGATCTGCTGAGTCACATTTCTCATGACAGCCAAAGCAGCTGCCACATATCTGTAGTCACTGTGAAGACACAAGAGTGCAAGTTGAATGAACCAATGTGCCATAGAACCAACGTGCTAGATGCCAATCTAACATCTACTCTCTTCTACCTCCTTAGTAACAGAGTTGATATTAAGATGGAAATCTATGCCATCTGGAATAAAAGACTACATTTCCTATCCTTTGTTTCAGCAGGGATGACTATGTGACTAACTTCTGTCCAATGATATGTAAATAGAAGCATTAGGCAAGACTTCTGAGAAATCACCTTTAAGGAAGAGAGCACACCCTTCTTTAGCCCTTAAGTTAAACCTGATGCTTGGAATGTGGATGTGATGGCTGAAGTTCTAGTAGCCATATTGGGCCATAAGAACAGGGTACATACCCTAGAAGTAGGATAGCAGAAAGTTGTACGTTTCTGATGACCATGGAACCACTATACCAGCCACACACCTCCTACCTGCAGACTTCTTTCACATGAGAGAGAAATAGACCCCTATTTTTTACAGCACTATTTTGGTATCCTATCTGATACAACCAGTCAAAGACCAAGAAGGGAGCCTCACACATAGCACAGTCCAGACAACCTTACCAACTCTCCCACCATCTATTTCTAGGGAGCTTCTGCCCCAAATCACTGTGGAATATTATCCCCACCTTTCCTTCTGCACAGTATAGAGATAGAATGTAGCATAGTAGTTAAGAACACAGAGTCTGAAGCCAGACTCTGTGAGCTTAAACCCTACTTTTTGTCACTGACTAGCAGTATGGATTTTGGCAAGCCTCATCCACTCTCTCGTTGACTCAGTTTCCTCATCTGTAAAATGGGGAGAACTATAGAATTTATTGAGGGTTTAATAAATTAAATACAATCATCCATGTAAACTATTTTACTCTTGGCTCAAAACAAATGTTAGCAGTATTATTATTATAAGTAAAATATTTCTCTAGTAGAGATATCACATGGGATGCCTCACAAAACCCCTAGTCCCAGAAATATAACACTCATCCTCATTTTTTGGGACCTTGGATAGCCCATGTGTTGAGAGTTACACATCCTGCTCAGTTTTCTCTGCTTGTCTGATCTGATTTCCAATTGAATGGCTCCTGTGAAAGACAGATTGAAAGTGAGATTTCAGTCATTTTGGTGGAGCTAAAATAAATGAAGAAGACAAGAGGATGCGTTACAGTTCAGTGTTAACACCTTTTTTGAGAGAAGCTGAAAATGCCTTGTGCTCACTAATCTCAATGTTCTAGCACCAATTAGAAAAAAAAAGGAGAAAAAGAAAATGTGCAATAACTGCCTTTTTCTTTCTTAATACATTGAATAGTGAGGTGGTGGACCATATAATGGCACAGGGAAGAGAGTTCTATTAATAACTTCCAGGCAGGATGCTATGTAGCACCTCCTCTTAGCTAGCATCTATCTATCTAATCTGTGTTCTACACACCTGCCTTATGTAAAAGACACCATCCATGATAAGACACACCATTATTGTGTGCCACTAAGGTAGCAAAAACAATGACAATTAAACTGTGACACCATGCTCTTCTACTCGTAATTTTTTTCATTTAAACTTCTTGAAAGAGTTTTTTGAAGACTAATTTAAATATAGATTTTTATATTACTCTTTGGCTTACATTCAAAGATGGTACTAATATTCTACCTGTATAATCTTGCTAAAAAGAATAAGAGAGACAAAGAAATGAGGGTGTGTTCCATGTAGATGTTTGCCTTAAGTGTAACTAGGGGAGGAGGGGGGGGCAGGGCAATATATGTAACCTTAACATTTGTACCCCTACAATATGTTGGAAAAAAATAAAAAAGTAAAAAAAGAAGTGGGAACAAAAACAATAACAACAAAAAACCACTCCTAAATCTCAATGCCCCTGGGCAATCCTTATTCATAGTTTGTCTTCTTTCTTGTGGATTTTCTTTTTCTTTTTGACTTTGTTGAATCATATTGTATTTTTCAGTATTTTGTCTTATCTTCTTCACTTGACATTCTTTCTTAAGCAGTTTTATTGCCATTCAAGGAATATACTCTGTAAACATACTTTTTTTTTTTTTTTTTGGAGACGGGGTCTCACTTAGGCTAGATGCAGTGGTGTCATCAGAGCTCACTCTAACCTCAAACTCCTGGGTTCAAGCGATCCTCTTGCCTCAGTCTCCTGAATAGCTGGGAGACTAGGCATGCGCCACCATGCCTGGCTAATTTTTCTATTTTTTGTAGAAGTGGTCTTAGTCTGGCTCAGGCTGGTCTCAAACTCCTGGCCTCAAGCAATGCTCCTGCCTCAGCCTCCCAGGGTGCTAGGATTATAGGCATGAGTCACCTCACCTGGTCTGTAAGCATACTTTTTAATAGCTGACTGCCATTCTATCCTGCAGAGTGTTAATAAATAATTTCTTAAAAGTAATATTATGACTCTTGTACAAATGTAAAATGAATACATCAAAGATTTTATTTAAATCATTAATTAATGAGGATCCAATAAGATGCTACAACTGGTTCAAAAGGGGAATTTAAAGAATCACATACATACACACACACACACACACTGAGTAATGAATGCTGAAATGAATTAACAAGTACAGTAGATGCAAAACTGCATTACGTATCTCAAAGACGATGAAAGGCAATTATAACCCAATCATCTTTTTTTTTTTGGCCATTTGAAAGTCTTTCACAGTTTTTCCTGGTAAGATACAATATGATTTTACTTAGCTGTTAGGATTGTCTGTGTCGTGTCCCTACAAGAATGTGTGTGCTGCAAAAGGATTGGTTTTCTTCCTGTCTAAGTGAGATGCAATAAATCACTGAAACTCACTGGGCTCACACAGCTCTTCATCTGTAGGGTGACCATAACTGGATGGTCTCTAAAAGCCTTTCCTATTCTGATTCTTAATGTTAGCTATTATAAGCATTTCTTCTGGATATCACTGCTGATTCATATTGAGCTTATAACCAACTAATACTTCCCAAGTCTCCTCAAAACATGTTGTCTAGGCCGGGCGCTGTGGCTCACGCCTGTAATCCTAGCTCTTGGGAGGCCGAGGCGGGCGGATTGCTCAAGGTCAGGAGTTTCAAACAGGCCTGAGGCAAGAGCGGACCCGTCTCTACTATAATAGAAAAATTAATTGGCCAACTGATTATTATATAAAAATTAGCGGGCATGGTGGCGCATGCTGTAGTCCCAGCTACTTGGGAGGCTGAGGCAGGAGGATCGCTTGAGCCCAGCAGTTTGAGGTTGCTGTGAGCTAGGCTGACGCCACGGCACTCACTCTAGCCTGGACAACAAGTAGACTCTGGTCTCAAAAAAAAAAAAAAACATGTTGTCTAGAAGTTGTCTCTCAGCCTGTCTTTCAGCTACTGATTTCTTATCTTAGATCTAATCATAAAACTTTACATTTATTTTGTTACATTTCATCCTTTTACAATTAGTTGTTATAGTTTATGGGGCAATCTTTTGGGCTCTGTAACATTGTTAAAGTTTCTTTCTGGGGTGGGTGCAGTGGCTCACGCGTGTATTCCCAGCACTCTGGGAGGCTAAGGCAGGAGGATTCCTTGAGCTTAGGGGTTTGAAATCAGCCTAAGTAAGACCCCATTCTACTAAAAATAGAAAAATTAGCCATGTGTCATCGAGCATGCCTACAGTCCTAGCTGCTCAGGAGGATGAGGCAGGAGGATGGCTTGAGCCCAGCCTAGGAGTTTGAGTTTGCAGTGAGCTATGATGACACCACTACACTCTACCCAGGGTGACAGAATGAGACTCTGTCTCAAAAAAAAAAAAAAAGAAAGTTTCTCTCTGGCAAGACTGTCTAAGCCTGCTATTTAGAAGCAGATAGGGTGATGACAGATGGAGAGGTTGCAGCATACAACCTTGTAACATAAATAAGTACTCCTGATCTGTAGAACCATTTTCTGTCCCCTGTGCCTTTCCTTTCTCTGATTTGAGGGCACTGGTGCTTTAAGCAACTTTCTGGGATGTAAAGCATAGAGCTGTATTGTCTGACATGGTAGCCACTAGCAACATTTAACTAAAATTAAATAAAATTAAAATTACTCCTTCTGTTATACTAGCTATGTATCTCAGTACTCAATAGCTACATGTAGTCAATACATTGTATTAGATAGCAAAGACACAGACCATTTACATCACTGCAGAAAGTTCTATTGGATAGTGCTGGCATGGGAATGCTCCTTACCTCTGCCTGACCCTAAGTACTTCCCAGTCATGGATTCATCACTGCCGCTGTACCAGACTGCCTATTTTTGTCACTTTTAGCTGGCTTCCTTTTTCACAATGGCTAGCGGGGCAATGTAGCTATCTTTATCCTGTCCCACTAGCTTTCCAGGTGAGTAAGAAAACAAGAAATTTCTGTAGTCCAGTATGAACCTTGCTCAGAGCCACTGGGCCCTCAGATGAGGTCTAGGCCCACATCTCTATTGGGGAGAGTGACAGAACCAAGATTTTCTCTTTCGAGACATGTCAGATAATCTCCCTCAATCTTCCTTCTTGTCAGCTTAAGAACTATGGGGTGGGGAAAGTATTAAATATGTCACCCTTCTGTAATCAAAAGCAGTATTATTCTCCATTTATCACTCTCAATCTAATCTTCAGAGGTCACTCTGCCTACCTGAATTTCAGGCCTATCTGTCTGAACACATGACTAAGCTTCCAAGCTGGCAGCAGTCTCTAATTATCTTCAAATACAAGCTGCTCTTGATATGCATAGCAGAAGCTGTCATCTTAATACAACTTCCTGAGATCTACCCAAAGGGCCCACAGGTCACCGTGAAGAAGGACAGAGACTGATGTCTCCTGTCACTGCCTGAGCTACTCTATAAGCACTCTGGAGCCCAGGGGCTGAGAGGAGAGGGGACCAGGATCCAGAGGGCAAGAGGGATTTGAGGCAGGAGTTCCAGTCACAAGGTGAAAGAGCACAAGAATGGCAAATTTTATGCAAATGCCCCATTTTGCTATCTCCCACCAAACCCACCAAAGCCCCCAGATTGTTT